TTTTAATTCCTTTTTGTCACACAAGTGCCTTCCCATAAAAATTTTAAGAACAAAATAGTCAGTTGAATGTTAAGCGACTGAATTTCCATTTAATATTTTTTTTAGTAATTGAATGTCAAATAACTCCTTATATTAATTCCAAACCAAATGATGTATATTAATTAAATAATAACTTAATGCATGAACTATAATGTAAATTATGAAGATTAATAAGGACTTTGTAGATTAAAAATAAAAAAAATTTCAAAATAAAATAATCAATTGAATGTTTCTCAATCATTCATGTGTAGGGTACAAGTGATTGGAAGTAGAAAAGATTATTGCCAATCTTAAAAACTCTAATAATTAGAAGTTATTTACTTTAACATATTTGTAACCTCATTAATATATAATGCAACCTTTCAATTTTGCAACCTCAATTAAATAATAACTTAATGCATAAATTATAATGTAAATTATGAAGATTAATAAGGGTTTCGTTGATGAAAAATAAAAAATGTTAGGAAAAATTAATCAATTGAAAGATAAGGTATTGAATTTTCGTGTGTATTTTTTTTTTAAGTGATCGAATGTCCCAATTAATATATTAATGTAACATTTAGCACATTTTTTACCTCATTAATAAATTAATGCAACCTTTTAATTTTGTAACCTCAATTAAATAATAACCTAACGCATGGATCATAATGTAATTCATGAAGATTCATAAGGACTTTATTGATGAAAAATAAAAATTGCTTTGTTAATGAAAAATAAAAACTCAATGGATGAATTATAATGCAAATCATGAAGATTAATAAGGGTTTTGTTGATGAAAAATAAAAAAATTGCTTTGTTGATAGAAAATAAAATTTGTAAGAACAAAATACTCAATTGAATGATAAGTCACTAAATTTCCATTGATTGAATTTTTTATTTTAATAATTGAATGCCAGTTTCACTCCTTATATTAATTCCAACCCAAATGATAAATATATATTAAATATTTCACCACTTGTATTAATTTTAAATCAAATGATAAATATTAATGAAATTGGTAATAAGGGCTTTGTTGATGAAAATTAAAAATTCTAAAGAAAATATTATCAATTGAATGTTAGTCATTGAATTTTCATGTGTAAATTTCTTTTTTATTCATTGAATGTCCTCATTAATATATTAATGCAACCTTTAAAATATTTGCAACATCAATTAAATAATAACTTAATGGATGAATTATAATGTAAAGCATAAAGATTAAAAATTGCTCCGTTGATGAAAATAAAAACTCATTACATGAATTACAATGTAAATCATGAAGATTAATAAGGGATTTGTTGATGAAAAATAAAAATTTATTCGTTGGTGAAAAATAAAAATTGTAAGAACAAAATGGTCACTCCTTATATTAATTCCAATCCAAAATGATAAATATCAATTGAATATTTCACTCCTTATATTATATTAATTTTATACCAAATGATAAATACTAATTAAATTGGTATTCCAATTATGAGGGTATAGTGGGCATATAGTTAAATATTAGGAGTAAATTTGGTATTCAAAGTTTTTTCACCATCCCACTTCTAATATATTGTAGATAAAAACAATATATCTTACTTCCTTTAAAAGAGTGAATGGAGTTGCACCAAGTAAAGGAACTCCCCCAAATCCTCGTCAGAATTTCTAAACCCTAAAATCTCATCTTTCGAAATTTGAGGTTTTGATTTTCTCAAATTTTAATTCCTTCAAACTATAACAACTATATTTGTGTGTATATATGTATACATACTTTGATGTATATAAATTTTTTAATTTTTTAGGTACAGATCATTAGGAATCAAAATCTAAGAGATAGACATTGAGTAAAATCAAGTGGAGCTCATAGATTACTTTGTGAGGCACATGTTGAATCTCACGGGTTTCGCCGTCAGAAATTTCGTTGTTGAGGCCACTTTCCACCCATCTCTTTTTCCTTTCGTTGAGATCATCTGGGTTCCTAACCTTCTTTAAGTTGTATTTCATTTATGTCCTTGTAGAGATAACTTTTAGTTTTGACTCTTTTTTTCTTTTTTTTGGGTAGAGAAAGATCCAATTAGACGTATTCTTCCCATTGATTTTGGTTGGATATATTCAAAGCCTTAAATAAGCGAGTTCTTGTTCTTTATCATTTGGATCTCTAATAGTTTTTCCTCTTCATTTTTTATTTCTTGTTGGGATGGACGTGGAAAAAAAATACTTTACTTTATACTTTACTTTAGTTAAACTTGTTTAATTAATAATTACTTTTGTCTGTACTATTACTCATAACACTCTTATGCATAGATTTGTAAAAGAGGAGAACCTGGACAAAGCTTATGATTTGATAAATCGACTGGAAAATGAAGGTCAAAGCCGGCCTTGGAGCATAGTAACTAAGGCAATGGCCTAGTGTCTCCAACTGGGCCTCCAAAGTTGGGGGCCTCGGGGGAAAAAAATCCTACTTATATGATATTTATTTGAATATTTAATGTTGTTACGCTTATTAAAATTTATGTATAAGGACTTCATAATAAATAATCGCCTAGAACCCCAAAATTATCAGGGCTGACCCTAATGAAGGTCTATTACCTAATGCAATTACATGTAATGACTAGGTTAAATATAAGAGGCCAATATGATACACAAGAAAATGGCTGCTTAAGTCTTGATAGATCTACATATGCATCTTTAATAAATGTTTGTCTCATAGGAAAACATGAAGGAAACCTTTAAGGTCCATGATGAAATGCTGCAAAGGGGTTTTATGCTTGTTGAGAAATTCTATTCTAGCCAGTTTGAGCTGCTATATCTTCTGGAACTTGTAAGATTGTGGTTTCAAAAACGTGGAAAATCCTTTGCATACATTGGTCCCAACCTTTAGCTTGGAGCCTATGCGTATATCTAACTAATAAAGCTTTGAGTTTTTCAGCTTATGATCTTTATTTGAAAAAAAAATAAAAAATTATGGTATTTTTTGTAATGTTTAGTAGTGCTTACTATCATTCGACTATTGTTGTTGGAAATTTAGTTCTTTAAGGTTTTAAGGGAACCTGTTTTAAGGGAACCTATGAATCGTTTTTTAATCTTTATACATATGCATGTAATGGGTTATCTTTATTGTGCATTGTTATGTTTTTTCAGGTATAATTCTTTTTGTCTTCTTTTTATGTTTATTTTTGCTGGTTTAACTAACAAAGAATATAGTTGCTCAGTATTTAGATAGTTCTTGGCCATCTTTGTCACTTGTGACTGTGGGCTTCAAGCGCAACTCTAAATTCTTCTGATTCGCAAAGAGAAGTGAAATAAGGTAGTTCTTGTTATGAAATTAAATGGCAGATATTTCAAATGAAAAAAGTTTTAGTACTTAAATGGCTATGAGGACAAACTTATAAGCAAAACATATTCATCCGCCCAACAATTTCTATTGAATCAAAATATACATTTCTCTCATTAATTTTTCACATCGAACAAGCTAACATTATCTACAAAACAAGACAACCCGTGCATTGCACAGGCTAATGACTAGTATGATTAATAAAATTGTTGAAAAGCACATCACAAATATTCATTAAAAAGTAGGTGTGTGGCATAATTTCTTCTTATTTCTTATTTAAGAGTTTTTATAGTATATGGGCTATACCCTCTTTAAATCCGCTCAAGCTATTCGATTATGTTACAAAGAAGTTGTAAATTTTGAGTTGAGATCTGCTGTTCAACAATGATAAATTGATACATTATTGGATACCTATTTTTAAGAACAAGTAGTAGTGGAAGAAAAGTTGGATATGTTAATTTAAAATGACGTGTCAATTAATTATTGGTTGGACAGCAAGTTGGATGGCTAATTTTGGACAGTAGATTTCAACTTATAAAATTTTGACTGTCCAACTTGCTGTTCACCCAATATATGTAAAAATTACTTATATAAGTAAAAAAATTCATTTAAAATTATTTAGAAGTAAAAAATAAAATAAAGTTATGAAAATTAAATGAAGAATATATAAATATTGTTTAACTAAAATTGAAAATTTTACTTTATAAATAATTTTTTTAATCAATTTATTTAAATTTCTTTTTAATTCTTTTCTCTTTCAAATAAAATTTATTTAAATTTTTTTTTAATTCTTTTGCCCTACAATCTTGGAGCGACTGTGGTATCGTCCGAAGAATAGATCTGCTGTTAGGGTTCTAATTCTTACATCAATAACGGAGTTGGCCATCCAGTAAGTATCAATTTAAGGGTGCGTTTGAATCACATTATTTGGCATTATAATGAGATGAATAGTATTTTTTTTAAAAATGAGTAGTTGAAATTTTTTTGATTTACGTGTAATATTACTTTATTGAAAATTGTGTGGTTAAAAGTAGGAGAGAGAAAAATTTAATTTAATGTAAAGAAAAATAATGGGGTTCAAACGGGGGCTAAGTTATTTTACGTACGTTCAATTTACAACTGCATGGATTATTTTTGAACTACAAGTATAACCTCTCAAATTGAAGTTGCTAAAGAAAAGTATTTTACAAAATTCAAATTATAACTTATTTGCAATATCAGATAAAAAAAAAATATCTTCATCTACATTAAACAAAAAAATACAATAAATAATTAAAAATAAATTATCGTTGACATAAATACAATCACAACATTCATTATACTTATTTATAAGAATAAAAATAAATTATCGGGACATAAAATATACAGTCGACCAAAAAATGAGAATCAAACAAACATTTCTTATTTTCAAATACTTTTTGTATAATCTATAAATTTTACGCTAATAAAATCAAAATAAATACAAAATTCGTGCAATGCACGAGACGTAGACTAGTTGTACAAGAAATTCAAATTATTTACCTAATGAAGAAACACACACTCCAAAGCTAACATCTTTGAACCAATAGGAATCAAGATATGAGACTACTCGATCCGCGTCACACCACTAAGTTCACATAGAGGCCGTTAATTTCTGTTGAGAAAACACAATCTAGCGCATTAATGACCGTGGGATCTGTAAATGGGACACATCGGGTTATTAAATCTTCGCCGTCGATCATACTTAATATCCAACATCTTCTACTCCTATATATACACGTTATCCGGCAACAGGTTCAAATTTTACAAACGCTGCACAGAGGAAGGCAAGGGAGAGATTTCTGTTCGAGAAGTGAGTCGCTGTTTCTGTACTCTATTTCAATTTGTTAGCACATTATTTGAATTCAATTGACAAAGATTTTCTTAAACATATATGCGTGTGTATGTACGCAGATTCGGATTCGATCGATGATGATTTTATGTATGCTTAGGGTTTGTTTACATGGCGATTAGTGTTTTCTGTCGATGTACGGATGCTAGTTGGTTGATTTTACGGTTTTTGTTTAATTTTTGGTGCCCAGTTTTTTTTTTTTTCTCCCCCGGCTTCTGTTGAAAGTAGGGTTTATATGATCTAAAATTATGTTTGTGGCTTTGAGTTGGTTGATATCTTATGAATGTCTCTTTGTTTGAAATTTTTTTGATTTTTAGCTTTGAGCCATTACTTCCCCTTTTGCCAGGAAAAAATAAAAATAAAGTAGTGGCTCTTAGCGCAGTTTGGATCTAAAATTGATCTTGAGAGTTCCAGTTTTTGGGATGTTTAACATGCTTTTGTCAAATTCTGAATAGCTGGAGTTATTTTCCGAATTAAGGGTCCTTTGAGATTTTAAACTTAATGCATTGTAACGGAAATCTAATTTAATTCATGTATTACTCTTTGCTATTTAGTTTTCGGGTTTTCTTATGAAAACTTTTATGATCGAGATTTTCTCATGTAATTGTGTGTAGATGGCTCGTACCAAGCAAACTGCTCGTAAGTCTACTGGAGGAAAGGCTCCCAGGAAGCAACTTGCTACTAAGGTATGTGTAGCTTGCTATACTATATGTTAATTTGTGCGTCTGTGTGTGTTCTGTTAGGCAAATTTGATCTAGTTTAACTTCTTTATATAGGCTGCCCGTAAGTCTGCCCCAACCACTGGTGGAGTGAAGAAGCCTCACCGTTACCGCCCTGGTACTGTTGCTCTGCGGTAAGTATTCCTTTACTTCAATTACTTGTTAATCAATGTAGACTTCTATTGATGTCCTGCTGGTTTATGCTTATTGTATTAATGTCATGATACAGTGAAATTCGCAAGTATCAGAAGAGTACTGAACTGTTGATTAGGAAGCTGCCTTTCCAAAGGCTTGTTAGAGAAATTGCCCAGGATTTCAAGGTACATTGATAATGTAAACATTGCTATTTTTGTCCATAAATTTTAAATAGTATGATCTTAAATTACGGCTAAGTGCATTTTTTATTGATTGCCTTTTCTGTGGTTGCAGACTGATCTGCGTTTCCAGAGCCATGCTGTTTTAGCACTTCAGGAGGCTGCAGAGGCTTACCTTGTTGGTCTATTTGAGGACACCAACCTGTGTGCTATTCATGCCAAGCGTGTTACTATCATGCCTAAGGACATCCAGCTGGCTCGTAGGATTAGGGGTGAGAGGGCTTAGATTGAGTATGTTCTATTGCTTAGGTTTGGTGGCGGTAAATTGTGGCTGTGTTCAGTTTTATCTTCATTAAGTGTTAAATAGGTAATGGATGCTTATTAAACTCTAGTAGATCTTGATGGTGGTTTTGGAGAACTTGTCTCGATAATGGCGGTGTGTGCTGTAATGAAATTGGTAATTGTGTTTTGGAATGCAAGTGGTGGTATTATATTTGTGAACTAATTTTCTGTTTGTTCACTGCCTGAGTTAAACTATATAATATATATATCATAGGTTGCATCTTATTTTGGAGGTTTTAGTTTGTTTCAATTGTCTTCTGGATTTGATGTTTAAATTACCTTAAGCCGTAGGAAAGGTTGTGACTTGAAAGGCCCTTAGTGGTTTTCAAAGTTCCTTGATTACGATGGCAGAGGGATGGATGGCTGTCAGCCTGAAGATGATGGCTGTAATTTGTGCCTAATCTGTTGTGAGCAATAAATATGGCTGAAAAATTTGGGGAAAGCTATTGAGATAAGTTTTATCTGGTACAAATTTTAAAGGGTAACTTCAAGTTCGGTTTTGTTAGTGGTACATCGGGGTGTACCTTATGATGTACACTCCATGGGTGAGGACTTCATTTGAAGAAAATATCATTTATTTCACATGGTTTTTACACTCATGTGAGTGGGGTGAACATAGGGTGGGTGTGGTTCGGTTTGGTTCTAAAGAGAATTGAATCGAATCAAAATTTTCGGGTATTTAATAAATGAAATTGTCATGTTCAAATATAATTATGAAACCGTTCGCGTTCGGTTTCGGTTTCGTTCGGTTTGGTTTGATTTCGTTTGGTTTTGTATTATAATTAAATTTTTTAACATTTATAATTACATTATATAAATACAGTTAATGACACATTCAATGGTTTTGAAATGTCAAAGACTCGTAAACTATTTGGTTCAAATGATCGTTATGGTCAAAACTTTGATTGGCGGAGGTCACAGCGTCGGTCGACATTGTATAGATTTTGGAATGTCAGTGAGGTTGCGAGAGTCGAGATGCGTTACATACTTTAGTATAGATATTTAGGGTTATTTAGTGGGCATCAAATTTTACATAATAAGTTATGGGATGTTGGATGTCACTTTTGTCATTTGTTATTTTGAAACACATTTGACTTTTTTTTTATCTAATCTCGTTGCTCCCTATCATTTTATTTAATCGTTACATTGTCCCCATTACATTAAATTTTATTACATTTTTTTTTTTTTTTAACGATACAATCTTTCATAAAATAATATTATATGTAAATTGAATTTTTTTTTTCAACCACTCATTTAAAAAAAAAAAAACATTATCCCTCCCATTTTTACTTCGAAAAATGGGGGCCAAACAGGCGTAATCTAGCGTCACTATGCCCCAGTTGTTGTGTGTTTGCAATGCTATCCTGGACATTCTCTGTTCTCTATGATGGTTTCAGTCCAATTTTAACATTAATTGTCCACTTTGGCCTTTGGCTTTCCGGTAAACAATATCATGATAATAATCCACAAATATTTCCTCCATTAACCAGCAATAATACGATAGTCGTATTTATATCCGCGCCTCTGAGCAAAAAAAGTTTCATGATAATCTTGTGTTATTACCTTTGCTCATCTATTTTCATATTTAATGAAAGCGGGAACCATGGAACAATTATTCTGACCTCTGAGTGCTCGTTTTTATTGTGAATTTGTAGCGGTGGTTTAGTACTTATTAATCCTATTGAATGTGCAGAGGAAAAATAAAAGTTATAGCTTTTAAACAATGTGTGGTTTAAGATGATATTTGACTTGTAAATTAGACAAATATTTTACCGAACACACTTTAGGAACGTTCTCGATGGTGAAGGGAGTTATTAAAACCCGGTAGTATGAAGTTGAATTATCAGCTTATGCATTGTTACCATTTGGTCTTTAGAGAGCGGAGAGTGAGACAATTCAGTTGGCAGTCTTTTGAATTCACATTTCATGAATAACATTCAAGATAATCATTCTAATCTAACTTTAAATAAAAGTCATAGAATTTGATTGAACAATTAGAATAAGCAAAAAAGGGAAATAATTATCACTTGGAGACAAGTCATAAGGCATTATTCTACTAAAAATAAAGATGGGTGACTATAATGCAACTCGATCAATAGTGTTGAAATTAATAGTGCAATTTATGCCCCTCTGAACTTCTATCCCTAACTTCGTCTCTTGACGTTTGTCCTCAATATTCAAGTGATTAATGACTATTTTATATCTATTTTTGAAGGGTCGAGGAGTTTATTGTCAAGAAACAAATGATAGGGTTAAAAATACAAAAGAGTATAGGTTAGGGACGTGTATGCAATTGACCTTTAGGGATTGTTGTAAATTGTTACGTTATTTCTCCTCCTCCTCTAGTCCTTTCACCCTGTTCTCCTCTTTAGGCTTCTTTTAGGGTTTATCTATTCTAAGAATTATTTTGATTTGATTATATGTTGAGGCTTAGGCTTTAAAGAGCTTCGATGCATGGACCTGACACTGCGAAGTCAGCCTTTGTAAACTTTGATTGCTATGACCACTAAGGTAGCTTTAATTGTGAGTTGGTTGTTTATTCTTTTTCTGTTCATTCATTTATGTTTAGGTTTTATGTATGTATTTTTCGATTGGGGATTTAACTGTCTTTGAGTTTAAATTCAAACCTTGTGATAAACCCCAGGTTAAATTCTGGTTTGCTACTTGATCTATTGACAATGTTGGAACAAATTATTTATATAATAATTATATTATATCTTTTTAGTCTGTACTCTTACAGTTTTGAATTGCATTGTTCTTGTAAGCTAATCTCCAACGCTTTTTCTGTTTATAATTTCTATAAGAAATAACAAGAGAAACTTTAAAATGTTATAAATATGGCTAATTTTTTATACAAGCTAAGAAATATTAACATTCATGAGTTCTAAGAACCTCAGTTATTCATGAATGGCTGTTCATTTGCATCGCCGTACCCATTGGTTAAGAGATTGGGTTGAGCAATTTACTTATAATTTCCATCTCCTAATTGTGCTTCTGCTGCAAATATCATTAAAAAAAAGCAGCCTTATGGAAATATGGAGGTTTGTGTCACTGACATATTGCAATTTCGCAACACTTTTCAGGTCTGAAGTAAAAACCAACTGTTACTTATTCCCGTGCATCTTTGAGTATACTTGGTATATCTACATATAAATTTCCTGAAGCAAGATTTGCCTGATTTACTTCTGCAGAATATGACTGAAATATTCAGCCACATGGCATGCAGGCAGTTATTACAAATGTTATTTGCTATAATCTTCTTTCACATTTCTGAGTACATTCTAGCAATTGCCATTCATGGGAAAATGAATGTAACTCTCAAGTCTCTTTTAGTAAGCAAACACTATCTTCTGGCCATGATTTGTTCGATACTAGAATACATTGTTGAAATTTATATCTTCCCGGGGTTAAAGGAACACTGGTGGATAAGCAATGTGGGCCTTGTTTTGGTTGTTATTGGTGAAATTATACGAAAGTTGGCTATAGTAACTGCTGGTAGGGCATTCACTCATCGTATAAAACGATATCATGAAGACCATCATAAATTGGTAACTTATGGAGTCTATAGATATATTCGGCATCCAGGTTATTGTGGCTTCTTCATCTGGTCTGTTGGAACTCAAATAATGCTTTGTAATCCTTTATCCACACTTGCATTTGCATTGGTTGTTTTTCGTTTCTTTCAACAACGGATTCCATATGAGGAGCATTTCTTGCGGCAGTTTTTTGGTTCAGAATATGAGGACTACTCTAGACGGACTTCTTCTGGAATCCCATTTCTCAAATGATGCTCTATTGAGTTGTTTTGGATATCAGCGTTATGTTTGTATCCTGTAAAGATTTTTATCCATTCTAACTGAGATATAGAAAGCTGGTTTGGATGGTGATTTTTATTTAACTATGGTAGCTTGTCACGTGTTTGTTTTTCCGTTATAAGTTGATTAGGAAACAGAAATAAGTAGACTAGTTTTAGTTTTTCTCCTCCGTCCCGTTTTTGAATAACTGTTGTCCGTAAATTGCATTGATTATGTCCTGTATTGACCTTGTGAAAGATTTATTTATCAACTTGCATATGGTCGGAGGGAGATTGAATTTATAGGAAAAAATTTCTCCTTGAAAAGTCAGTTTCATATTAAAGATCCATTTGGAGATTGTGCATCAAATTGCTGATGAAAATCGTTGTGGACTGTTACCTGATATGGGGTGTGAGTTTAATTAAGGAAAAATGACACAATTAGGAAAGTTTGAGTCTTTATGAGAACATAATGAATAAGTTCATATCTGGTTAGAAAAGCTGGTTGGCACTGGATGTAACAACCCCCCTGGATATCATGAGGAATGGAAATATTAAAATTTGCTATTCTGTGTTGAAGGATATTTGTTAAGGGACACAAGAATGAAGACAGGAGTCAGGAGATGGTGTCTTAGATTAAGATAAGACCACATAAATGATGTGAAATTCATTTGGTGTTGTGTTATAACTTCATTGATTTTGGAAGAGGTTTTGAATTATTAAAGTCACGCTTGAAAGATAAACAAAATATGGAGTTTGGGGATGATATCCATGTCACTGCCTATCATCTTATTTAACATTGAGCCCTTGTTTGGTCCTCATTTTTCGAGCAAAATGTATTATAAAATATTTAGTGATTTTTTAGAAAATGTGTGGTTAAAAAGGAAGGAAATTTTTTTAAAATAAGTGTATAATTATTTTATGGAAAAATTTGTGATTGAAAATGAATTTTGAAAAAACACATTTTTTGGTCGGGCCTTGAGTTTGACTCCGTTGGTTGGATGGAAGTCAAACAGTGTGAGGCTTCATGGAAACTCGCCATTTTCGGTGATGATCAACCAGCATATCAGATTTTATTGCGCATTTATGATATTATGTAATTTTTCATTTTTGATAATAACATTAGATTTTTAAAAGTGGTATCTATTATACTTTTCAGAATCCAACCCGAACTAAGTGCAAACATGGTAGCTACTGATAAATTTTGTTTACGACAATTCAAGAAACCCGTTTGGCCCCAGTTTTGGGAAATGAAAATGGGTGTAGTGTTTTTTTGAAAAATGAGTAGTTGAAAAAAAAAGATTTTTTTTTAACTTACGTGTAATATTATTTTATGGAGATTGTGTGGTTGAAAATAAGATAAAGAAAAATGAAATGTAATTTAATGAGTACCAAACGGCGCAACCGAAAAACATTTAAAAAATTTAGCTCCAATTTAGTTTGGAAATATTTTCAGTAAATTTTAATAAAAAATGTGGTTAAAAAATTGATAAAAATTATGAGTTATATAAAATGTGCGACCTAAAATTAGTTTTAAGGGAGGGGTTTCAAAGTTAGCCCTTTTTTTATAACCATTCTTTTAAAACATTTTTTTTTTTATCAAAATACTTATTTTCAATAACACAATCTCACAATAAAATATTTCTCACTTAAACTCAAAATTTTTCTTACTTTAATCACACATTTTTTAAAAAATTACTACGTTAAAACTCATTTTTCCCAATGTCAAACATGCCTTAATGAATTAAAATATTAAATCACGCATTTACTAATCTAAACGATTTCCTCCCTCTCTCTCTCTCTCAGATTTCGTGGTCTCACAATGTCAAGCCTCATACCCCACAAAATACTCCGATTTATGATTAAAAATAATGATATTTTACGGTCGTTCACTATTGGAATCGACCTGCATGACATATATATGATAAGTGATTATTTGATGCATGAGTCAGTAAAAAACTATCACATTAATACATCAAGAATTTTGTTCTTTGTACACTGATTTTTTACACTTGTATTTTTGTCATGCGTCAATTGAATGAAAAAACTATTTGAAATTTAAACTGTGCATAGAATAATGTCATCTGACAAAGTGTAAATCAAAGTATACATTCACTTGCCATGTATACACTACGTAAGACGATTTGAACGACTACTAATAGCGTTAATGTATAATTAATTACATGAGTTTCTCTATCCCTCACTCCCTCTCCCACAATCCCTCTATTTTTTACTTTTGCCGTTACGGCAGATTGCCTCGAAAATACCCGCCAAATTCGGACTACAAAGAATTCTGTGTGTTTTTTGTTATCTTGATTTTTCTGAGGATTGTAACGGATATTAATAGCCGAGGAATCACCTTAGAAATACAAATTACCAACATGTTCCGCTCCAAATCAAGGTAACAAAGACTGACGGTATTTCTTGTACCCTATTTTTCTGTATATTTTTTGGACCATCAATATTTTCATGGCATGTTCTGTGCTATTTACAGAGATTTCATCGGACTTTCTTTGTTTGCTATATTGGCTTTGTTATCTTTGACGGACATTTTACCCTTCACACATAAATTTCTTTTAATTTTATCCTGTTATAATGTTGTGTTTTTGATGGGGTATGTTGATCCGGCTATCCGGGTCGATTGATTTTGGACAGAAGAACAATTATTCATTGGTCTTTTCTGGAACCCTTTCTGCATCAAAGCTTTGTAGAGGGAAACCTTCCAAGGTATTGTATTGAACCATTTTTCTATTGATATTTGTTGTTTAATTCAGTTTTTATTGAATATTGATGATGGGATTTTCATTTTAATGTAGCGTCGGATCGATAAATTTCTGACAATGCAGCAACAAACGGGGCAGCTCGAGGCAGAGCTGCAACGGATCAGGGAAAAATTGAGCGTTGTCGAGATAGAAAGAGATCAAGCCCTTGATGAAATTAGACGGGTAGAAAGAGAGCACGCTCGTGATGAACTTAGAAGGGCTACAGAAGCTCACGAGGCAAATGCTGAAGCATTGTCTCCCGAAAAGACTAGAGAACTAATGATGGAGCTCAAAAGATTGAATGAACTGCTATCGAATTCACAAGAAGAAATGAAGGTTAAAGATGACAAAATTGAGTTTTTGGAACTGGGATGTGGAAAGGAGAAAGAGTTTGAGCTTGCATTGGCAGAGAGAGATGCATCTTTAGATACTTTGAAAGAGTCGGAAGGACGGATGACAGATCCTCTGTCTGAAAGCAAGAAAAGAATTCATGAGTTAGAAACAATCCAGAGTAAAGAACTACAGGACACGAAGAATGAACTTGAAGAATCGAAGCATGAAATCACCTCTCTTCATAAGAAGATTGAGACGTCGGAAAATTTTAATGTTAGTACCAACAGAAATAATCGTGATTCTGGTGAAGAAGATGTTAAATATCAGATGGAGAATCTGGCTCATGCCGAAGAAGGTGAGAAGCAAGCTTCATTGAAGGCCAAGAGTCCTCTTGATGAGATGGAATTGCTCAAGAATGAATTGAAATTGGCCATTGAGGCGGAAGAAAAGAGCACGAAGGCCATGGAAGATTTAGCATTGGTGCTGAAGGAAGTTGCTACAGAAGCCAGTCAAACAAAGCAAGAACTCAATAATTCACAAATGGAACTTGTGCAAGTAAGAAGTGAAGCAGAAGGACTTAAAGCAATGGTGCAGAGCACCGAGGAAAGGTATCAAAAACTTTTGGAAGAAGCTAAGCAAGAAGCAGAATTACACAGAAATACTGCAGACAGACTGAAATTAGAAGCTGAAGAGTCACTTTTGGCTTGGAATGGGAAAGAAATGGGGTTTGTTAGCTGTATAAAAAGAGCTGAAGAAGAAAATGCTATTATGAACCATGAATGTGCTAAACTTAGGGAGTCCCTCAAGGCTTCTGAGCATACAAGTAGGGTAGCAAGGGAAGAAACGTTTAAATTGAGGGACATTCTTAAGCAGGCTCTTAATGAAGCTAATGCTGCAAAAGCGGCTGCAGGCATTGCCATAGATGAAAATTCTCAACTCAAGGATTGCCTTTCTGAGAAAGATGATGCCTTACTTTTTCTTACTCGAGAGAATGAACGTCTTAGAATTAACGAGGCTGCAGCTCGTGAGAATATGAAGGAGTATAAAAAGTTGCTTTCTACAGCATCAACAGAATTGAAGATTGAGGATAAGGAGCAGTACATAATGCTGAAGCCACCAGATTCAGTGGACCAAGAACATGAGGACGAGAATCTGAACAGCACTTTCAGCTTCAATCTTGAAGACCTGAAGTTTATGAATGAAGCTGAAGATGCATATGTAAAAGATTTAGATGAAGATCCTGAGAAAGCAGAAGCCCTAAGAGGCTCGATATTTGATGCTAATGCAGAAACACCTAAGGCAGAGCCTCGTACACCACAGTCAGTTTCTTTGCATCGGAGGATATATTCTTCCTTCTTTAAGGATGATGGAGGAAAACCAAATTTAGAAGATTTTGATCATTTAGACAGCACACATGATGATCCAGATAGTGATAGAAATTACCATAGAAGAAGGAGAACAATGTTTCGCCGGGTTGGAGATCTCCTGATGATCAGAAGAAGTTTTCACAAAAAGGAACCATCCACCGAGTATCACAAGAAGGAATTATCCACTGAGAATCAGAAAAGGGAACCATCCACTGAGAATCACAAAATGGAATCAACCACCACCGAGAGTCACAAAAAGGAACCTTCCACCGAGAATCACAAAAAGGAATCATCCACTGAGTAGGATCTTATTTTACATCCCTGACTGAAACTGGTAAAATTATTTTGGTAGTGTTAATCTTTGTTATAAGTACAGGAAAAACATGTTATGTGTATCAATAAAACATAGAATTTAGAGGTTCACCTTAGTTTTCTTAGTACCCTACTATTTGTAAGGAGCTCTTGTCATATAAGAGATTCTTTTTGGTCAAATGTTTGCTACAATTTTGCATGGAAATGCACTCTGTTCCTTGTTATTCTTGCAGCGTTCCACAGATTATTTTGTAGAGTATATGATACAACTATTCAAATCTTAGAGAGATGCCATCAATTTCACTTATGCTCAGAATCAGGGCCGGTCCTGGGCTGAGGCATTTGAGGCCTCAGCCTCAGGCCCAAAACCCTTAGGGGGCCCAATTTTGCTTCAAACTTTTTTTTTTTTTTTTTTTTGGGATAGTTTTGGATTTTGGATGTTATTTTAATTTGTATTGTTTTCGTAAACTTGTAATGCTCAAATTTTTGCGTACATAATTGAAAATGTTATTAGATTTTTTCGTAAATTTTTACGTTGATTTCGTCCGGGGGCCCAATTTACGGACCTCGCCTCGAGCCTCCATTATCACAGGACCGGCCCTGCTCAGAATATCTGGATTTCTTTTTTTTTCACTGAAGCTTCGCATGTTTACGAATAACTTGTACATATCTTTTCATTTTCTAAGTTGGTACAGTATATTTGTTTCTTGAACTATTTACTCTACCACAGACATTTGTTTCTGGAATAATCCTGCTGCCTCATCTTCTGTTGTTGGATAAATTGAAACTCATTATTTCACCGACCTACTAGGAAATGAGACTTTGTGGGGTCTGGATATTTGAAATTCAAGTGGTACTCTTGTTGCTGCAAGCTGTACTTTGGCAGTGCGATTTGCTTCAACTATCCCGTCATTGTGCATCTTGACTCATTTTTGAGCATGTTCATGTGTCTCTCTTTCTTCTTTACTTTTGTTTCGTGTTGGGAATCTACTTAACATGCACATCGGAAAATTAAAACAAATTTCAATTCCCACCAGGAATCTCCATTGTGTTTAGATATAGTGTGATAAAAGTGATACATTTTCATAATCTGCAAACTCTTTTACCTTATCTTTGTTCCAGCAACTTGGATCTGTCTTCCACAGCTGTCCAATTGTCCAGCCTCCAACGGTAATCCACACAGAAAACAAGATTGTAGTATTATGATTTTTCTTGTGCTAGCAAGAATAATGAAAAATCTCTACAATTTTGAAGACCCTAATCATATTTATATAAGCTCGAACAGGCTTGGCCTGACCCGGTCTAAAATTTAATTAACCCATTTAAATAAATCCGGTCCGTGAATTAATTAATCCAATTAATTAATTCAGGTCTATAAATAAGCAACCCAAATAATTAATTTATTCAATACTTGTTAAATTAATTAATTGACAAATCACAATCTTCCAGCTCTCCTTTTCTGTGCGACCCATCAAGGTTCCCGATCACGATACCTAACGACGTGAAATATTATTTTGATCTAATCAAAATTGATAAATTAAAACACCCTTTTAATTTTGATTTAATCAAAATTGATGGGAAATGTCACGTGGTATGACAAAACTAAACTCGTTCATTTATCATGAAATTATAATCCTTTCGTCAATATGATCCAATCAATTATGAGATATGGAACTGTGTCAATCCCGATTATCAATCATATCTTTCATTCAACTATTAAGTCAATATAAGTCGAAAATTCCTTTTCAACTTATGAGTACATCTTGACCAAGGATTTCATTATCGACTTAATCGAATGAAATGTGGATCATAATCTCTTACTATCTAAGAGTGACGAATCCTCTATTGGTCATTCACAACTTTTATACAATTCTTGACATACCCGAACGATGCCGTATTAGCGACCCTTGGCAGAATAACATCCAACACCGTCAAAGTATGACTGTCCTCATATAAGGTACTATGACGACCTCAAGTCAAAGGACCAATCCCACTACCGAACGTTAGAGATTAACCACTGACACTCAGATAGTTATCTATGTAGAATTTCTAGGCAGGTCTCTAATGTTTTGTTCTATAACAAAACATCCACATGTTCATTTAAGTGTCACCATATTTTAGCTTGTGAGATCAGCTACTTACTTCATAAGTAAGAAATATCACACGTAATGGTCTATCCGTAATCACATATCCGTATCTCGTTAATACTTACGACCACAGACGATTTAAAATTCAAAATCTTCATAATTTGTATCTCATAATCACAATTCCTTGTGATTAACAAATTATGAAGATTTGAATTTACGGACTCTATTATTTAATTTAATAGACATTTAATTAAATAATAGATCTGTCATTAAATCACATTAATTATATACTAAAAATATTTATGTTCAAGGTTGATTGGATTTAGGACATAACACTTACAAACTCTCACTTGCACTAGATCCAATCACTTATGTATCCAATATCATAAGAGTCTACATAACAATCATGTTTATGTTACGACAACTCTTTGTCAGTGGATCTGCAATATTGTCAAATGCGGGAATTCGTTCTTCTCTTTACGTCATTTCTATGTATTATTTCTCTGATGATTATACCGCCTTAATACATGTTTGGATCATTGATGAGACCTTAGTTCCTTCGCTTTTGCGATGACTCTATTGTTATCACAATACAATAGCATGTGATCAATAATATCAGGAACTACTCGAAGTTTATTTATGAACATCATGATCCACATTACAATTCTTTGCTACTTCTGAAGTAATCATGTATTAGGTTTCTACTATTGAATCAACGGTTGCTTCACGTTTGGAACCTTTCCAACATACCGCCTAAAAGTAAACCAATTTCTCCATATGAAATTTTCTTAAGATTTCATCTATATAAATTGGGATGAGTTAAGCAATTTTCTAGATCTACCTCTATAGATTAAGTTGCTTCTCCCATATCGTTCAGGAATAAATTATTTAACAACCATTATTTCAACGATCGAAATATAGGGATGTCGTTTTCTATAATATTAGGAATACGACAATACTCCCACAATTTTTTTGTAACACACAATTCGTCTTCAAATTTGATAAAATCAAACACTCTGACTTTTCCATCAAATCAAAGATTTCAGCTTCAAGAGACTTCTCTTAACCTATAGTCACGGTATGCAACTATTGCAAGCAAAACCCGAATGGACGTCAGTAAGGCTACAAGAGAAAGATTCACCAAGGTCAATACTCAACCTTTGCTTGTTGTGATTTGTGGATTTCCTATTCTTGGAAATCTTGCTGTATTTGTTTGGTTGATCCATAGCATGGGCTTTGAAAATACCCTCATAAGAATATTCATTTTCATCTCGTGCCCTTGACTCTTTTTCAATTCAAAGATGAATTTGAATTTCTTTAAAAGAATAATCTTGGAAATTATGAAGGATTTTCTTCCTATAACCTTTCCATGAAAATGACAATTTCGCAATGATTTCAACTTGGAAAGTTTCAAAAAAATCTATTTTCACAGCTTTCATTTTAATGGCTATGATTTGCAACTCATGGACTTGTCCTAATGAAGGCAAGTTATCCAAAAACTTGAAATCAAAATACTTAGAAATACAAACTCGACCTTGTATTTAGTTTCCAACAATTCTCACATATCCTTTGTCGAAGTGTTATTTGTGGAGAGATCATATAGGCGATTGGAGAGTGTTCAGAATGTGTTCTCTACATATCAATTCATCTTCTTCTCTCTTCTTCCTCTCCGTCCTTATCTTGTCGGTGTCATTTGGGGTTGGTTCTAGCAATGGCACCAATGGATCCAAGATGTAAAAGATCTTTAAAGTTGTAAGAAAAAACTTCGATTGTCCTTCCATCTTGTAAAGTTCGACTCATTGAATCGGTCAAGCCTTACAAGGTTTTGATTAATCAACTTTATCATAGCCATGATTGTCTCGTTCTCCATGTTGAAAATATCGTTTGAGATTGTTGAACAAATTCGATGAAGAACGAAAACAAAAGCAGTAACAAGAAATTGTCAAAACTGAAAGTTTGAATATGATTATAAATTGCTATTCTCAAATGATATTTGCAACAACCAGTGTAAATACTTGAAAGCTTTATGAAAAATAGTTTGTAGGAGTAAACAAACTTTAATTGAAGTTTGAATCAAACAAACAAAATTTGGAAAAATGAACTAAAGAACAAAATTATAAAAAACTTGGTTTGATATTATATTTTGGATGTAGTTAAATCAATTTGATGTTTGTGATATGTTTTCCAACATGAAAACCATCCATATATATAGAAAAACAATTACCATTCACGGAAAGAAGTAAAAATCAAGCCAAAATAGTATGATACACTTCAAACGACACCAGAATTCAAATAGTCAACGATCTTTTTTTTTTTTTTTGCCCAGTACAAAACCAGGTGATCGCCCAGTTCAACAAAAGAAAAATGTTCAGTCTTTGTTTGTAGAGACTAGGTGATCACCCAAAATTTGCTCAAGCCAATTTTCGGCCTCGTTTTTTTCTTCATTTTGTTTTCTCATGATTGATCACTTCAATTAATTTCAAAATCACTCCTCATTGTCATTTGAACAATATTCCAACACTTTTATCGATATTTATTAAAAATTTGATTTTTATCTACACAAAAATAGGAGCCTTATGTTATAAACTACCTATTATTATGCTTAAAAGTATTTTTGTACTCTCAGATTGTCTGCTGCCTAGTTATACCTTTATTTTAGTGCAAGGTGTTTAAATTTGAGATCCAATTACAGCACACAGCATTGATATAATCACTGGTGGTCAGTGAACTTCATTCACATCCCATATCTAATTGTAGTTTTTTCCTTATTACGTCGCCTGTACTCTCCGATGATTAAAAAAAACTTAAATTGCAGGTGCGTATATAGCTTGCCTGATTTGCTCTGCTCGTGGGGTAGAACTACATCTACTATCTATCCATTTTGTAGTTATATTTTAGCAAGTTTATGGGTATAGAAACTTAGATCGAACCATTTTTAAACTATAAAAAACAGGGTTCAATTTGACCAGGCAACCGAAATGTGAATTGAGATATCAACAGTCCATAAACACTAAACCCCAAAAATAAAAATAAAGAAGACGGAGTTAGGGAATGAAGGGAGGGAGAGAGAAACCAAGGAAATGGTCAAGCAGATTAACAATCAACCAGTTATTTGACAAGCTTTAAGCACTCAACATTC